GGCGCTTCAGCTTCGGCAAGTTCAACTGCTTCCGGTAGAGCTGCAGCTCTCAGCGATAGCGACAGGCAGCGGCATCATCCAACGGCCCCTCCTCCACCATCACACACGGCCTTATTGGCCGTGATCACGTCCGGCGAACACGCTCCCAAGAGACGCGAGTCGTCGTCGCACATCCCTGCCGTTCCTCTCAAGGTGCGGGCTGGGAACGTGACCATCGCAGCCACTGCTTTACGCAAGCTCGATGTACTACCACATCTGTCTCATCCGCACCTACATCACAACATAAGCAGAGACCTGCCATTCTTGCCAATGACTACACCTACTTCCCTAATTTCTACACCCTTGCAACGACTTTACGAGATTCCCAGATAGCGCATAATAAGGAACAAGCAATCCACCTTACCTGCAACTCTTTGTTCACCAGAAGTAACACCCCAACGTGACACTAGGACCTGTATATGTTTTGTTTCTAGATGGCATCGTGATACTTTGATCATCACAACGCAATACCGTGTACAATCATCACAACGTGGTTCGTTAATAAGGCTCTCGGCTTTGTTGTTAACCATGGTTAGCTCGCTGGGCGACTTGATGTACAAAAACCATTGTTTGTACAGCTACTAGCTATAGTATGGCGAGGTGTCCATTTCCTGGTGGCATACCATGATTGCACAACAATGATATGAGCGGCATCCGCTTCTTTTACGCCGCCAACTCTTTGCCATGTTCCTTTGTGACTCGGAAATTATCCGCAAGACAAGGGTTTCTCGAATTTGCCGCTGACTGCTGACTAGCTTCGGCATTTGTTCAGTGTTGTTCTGGGGCCAAAAGATGGCTCTTGCCTTCTCTACGAAGGGTGCTCTGAACTGTCTCGAGCACAAGGCCGTGGAACTGAGCCGGGGCAGCCACGAAACCGTGGTTAGCAGTCATCTTGCGACCGACAGTGAGGTCTATGGATCTGCCGTCAATGTCCGTGATTTTCCCCCCGAGCTCCTCGAAAAGCATCATCGCCCCAGCATGGTCCCAGATCTTGCCATGGCGGTCGCGGCGCTTGTAGACCCAGACGGTGACATTGGCAAGTCCAAGCGCGAGTGTAACCCACCGTGGCACCCAGCCGAGTAGGTCACAGCCCGGCAGAGGTATATTCAAGGCCTGCATGACGGCCTTGTGCACATCTTCAACACCCGAGTCGAGGGTATCAAAACACGAGACGGACCGCAAGGTGTCTTGCGTGGCGAATGTGGCGTGGTCGTCGATTTTACGTGGCACAGGCACAGGCTTGACATCGTTTCCGTGTACCAGGAGGGGAGTCACGTAGACGCCATGGCCCTTGGCCCCAAATATGAGCAGGCCCTGGCCAGTCGGATCGACAGTGGCATTGTGAACGGGGCCGGGACTTGATACGGGCAGTGTCGGACAGCCAATGACACTGAGAACCTGCGCTCCGTCGACGAGAAGAGCCGTGTTGATGGCATACGCTTCGCCGCGGCTGCACATGGAAAGTTATAGAGACGGGGCTTGGTCAGCGCCCTAGCAACAACTCGAACTGACTGAGTACATCAGAACGATGAGAAACGTACATAAAAGTCTGCGTGCCGTCGATGGGGTCAAAGATCCATACACGTCCGGCTCCGCGCCCGCCAGGTGTGCCATGACCGCACAGATCTATGAGGTCGCACATGTGCTGTGGATCTTTGGGAAGCGTAACATGAACAGATGATGATGGTGATGGGGCCGAAGAGGTGGCAGCCGCGTGGCCGAGCAGGTCCCAAACACGGGCAAGGAGGGCTGGGCTGGCACGTAGTTCATCGGCTGACTCCTCGCCGACAAAGCCATCATTAGGGAAGCGGGCGTGGATTGACGCGCAAAGGAGGCCTTGTATGGCAAAGTCGGCGACGGTGACGGGGCTGAGGTCGTCCTTGGCCACGATGCCCTTGTCGGCACTGCGCAGGAGCGACTGGCTGAGGCCGGCGGCAGCCCGAACGACAGCCTGCACCAGCTCCAGCTCGTCATGATAAGGGCTGTCCATGGCAGTGCTTTCGATTCCGGTATCTGAGAAAGAGATGTTGTCAATCGAAGCAGTAGGCTGTGGGGAGTGGGACGTTAGACCGAGAAGAGACGTTGGCACATCAAAGCCGGAGCGGGGTCACCGTCCGCCGGCCGGTCCACCTCCGGACCCCGCCTGCCGGGACTCTGGCAGACCAGCCCCTTCTCGGGTCTGTCGCACAATGACAAAGCGTTAGAGCACGTATGTTACATGAAATCAACCACGTGATCGCACAACAGACATTGAACCTTGAACTTGTATTCAACAGGGTATTTTGGATCAGTCATTGATCGACGTGTCCGCTCGATTTACATGTGCCCCGAGTCCTCTGAGGGTTGCAGTGTGTTCGTCCCTTCCCCACGGTCACCCAATTTACCAAAATCTGCTTCTCCATAAGTTATGCAGGCTCTCACCCCATGCCCAACATAAGCAGCATGGTAAGATATGACTCAGACAAGCTAGATCACTTCTAGACAGCCTGTCACGTCGCTTAGGCTCGAGATGCCCATCTTTCGTACTCGTACGAAGCAAGCATAAAAGGGCCGGTGCCCTTGTAATCGTTCTTCAAAACTGGCACCCCGATGTAGTACTAGTAAAAGTTAGCACGCTATCCCTCACCCTGCATGTAAGAAGGAGAAGGGGGAAAAACGCCGTGAATGACATCTACTTACCTCAAACGTGCCGTTGCTGTTAAGGGAGCCAACAGCCACCGTACCCTCCCAGTTGATAGTTCCGTTCTGGTTAGTGCTCACAAAGCGGTCTGTCAGGAGGCCGTAGGCTTTCTTGGCAGGCTTCAGGTAGGTACGACGGTCAATCAGGCCCATGTCGATACCTTTGAGCATGCCATACGTGAACATGGCTGAAGCACTGCTCTCGATATAGTTGCCCTGGCGGCCAGGATAGCCCTCACTCACTACCCGTGGCAGTCTGGTTAGTGCTGACTCGACTCGGATCATGAGCCCTCAGGCACTGCAATGCTTACTGATGAGCCACCATCCTCCTGTCTGGTCCTGTGCTCGGAGCAGACCGTCCGAGAGCGTTTTGAAGTACTTGACAAGCTTTCCGTAGCCCGAATGTGCCTTAGGGAAAAGCTGGATTACCTCGAGGAGCGAGATGTAATCTGTGCAGACTGGTTAGCATACATATTTGCTGGCATGGCCCCCATGCATGGAGACCGGGGCATCGGCTCGAAAATAGTCGTCTCTGCAAACTGTAACTTACTGTGTCACCAGCACAATAATAGTCAGCGTTCTTGCCCCATAGCAGAGGGAGGGCCGGTCGGTCCTGGGAGAAATCAACTTACCACCATCCAACAGCGCGAGACCAGACGAGAGGGGCAGCGCCGGTGACGGGGTCCGCCCAGATGGCGACCTTGCTTTCGTCGTAGCCGTGCACAAGCAGGTTCGAGGTCTTGTTGCGTGTAGCTTTCTCGATGTTGTCGAACTGCAGTATGATATCATCCCAGGCGGTCGTATTGTCATTGTCAAAGTACTTTGTCCAGGTGGCATAGAAGCTGTCAACCATGAAGATGCCATCGAGCCACATCTGGTTAGGGTAGGCGGGCTTGCGGTGCCAGAAGCCACCGGTGGGCGTGCGCGGATGACGGTTAATCTGCTCGCGGATGGTCTGGGCAGCGAGGCGGTATTTGTCCTCGCCAGTCCTCTTGTACCACCACAGGAAGTTGTTGGCAATGCGGTAGTCGTCGAGGGAGTAGTGTGTCAGGTTCCACTTCCTGATAGTGCCGTCCTCGAGTACGACCTTGTCGTCAATCTGATTCTTGTACCAGGCAACCAGGGACGGGTCGCCAGTAAGGGCAATGGCGGCTTCGAAGCCTTCGGCCAAGACGGCCTCGCTGTAGTGGTAGGTACCGGGGACGCCATAGCTGACATAAGACTTGGCCATCTTGGTCAGGTACGACGTTCGGGGCCCCGGGGCAGCCATTGCCGAAAAGGCAGTGGCCGCCGCGACGAGCAGGTACTTGAGAGTCATGTCTCGTGGCTTACGAGTTTTCAATGGGAAGAGGACGGGGGCAAGGCTTCTTTATGGGAGAGAGTCGGCGAGGTATCAGACTGACGAGCAACTCGAAGTGAAATGAAAGCTGGGAGGGAGCCGAACGTTTTATATACAGGAGAGAGGCATCCCCCACGCCCGTAAGCCAAGGTAGTATGGGAAGACCGGACCGAGGGACGCAAGCAACATCGTGGTTGACTATTCATGGCCGAGACTGTGGCTCCATAGCGCCTGGGGTTGTTGGCTGCATGTTTGATTTGCTCGATGCTGAAGAAGGCAAGAGATGGCCCCCGGCCTGCTCAGGTGTAGGGATTGTGCAGCGGCACAGGGATGACGCGAGACTGGGTGCAGCTAGGGCGGTCAGGGCAAGAACACGGAGAGGCCACACCAACGGCCACCCGATGGAGCCATCTTGGCCTGCTGCCAAGCTGCGTGCCCATAGGCGGCAAAACTTCAGCGATGTCCGTCCTGCGTTTGTTGCTTCCGCACGGCAAATCGCCGTCTTGGCGCTGGCGTCCTTCGTTAACAGTCTCGACGGTCATGTGCCTGTATCGGCAAGCTCGTCGGAGCGCGTTCGGTGTGTACAAGCCCATGTCGGATGCGGACAAACTTGTCAGGTGCGGTGGGTGAGATCATGTTTACCACTTTCGCAAAAGTCAAGCGCAATATCGTAGGAGCAGTCAATCAGACGGGTGGGTACCGGTGCCGGGACCATCATTTGAAGCCCGATCAAGATGTAACCATACCTCGACAGGGTCCTCGCCAAAGAGCGAGGCCGGACGGCTGTAATGATGCCCCTGCTCGTTCATCTGTCGTTCTTCTCTTCTTTCCCGCTATATCGGCTACCAAGTGTCGTGACGTCGAAACATGTGCTTCGAACGCTCCGAGCATTTTGCAACTACACAATATCAATGTATAAGCCACACCCCAGTCATCCAACATCGTCTGCGTGGCGCAATGGTAGCGCGTTGGACTTCTATCCCGCTGAGATTCTGTCTCGGATAGATGGTATCCAAAGGCTGTGGGTTCGAGCCCCACCGTGGATGCGACAAACTTTTTGCTCCGCATAGCAGCTGGCCTGTGCTGTTCTTTCCGTCACGCATATGTGATGGACACTCACCACTTTGTTTCTTTTTTCTTTTTTCCTTTCCAACAGAGCTTGCGTCTCACTATTTGCGGATGTGGTTTATTTAGTATAGTAGCTATATATGTGACATATATAATGTTACAGGGTCTTTTGGATTATGGAATCTCAGAAATGCATCATTTATATGTGTATATAGAAGTGATCACGTAAATATATTATACTATATAACTATTTATTGTCTCTGGAAGGTCGCATTATATTCCTTAGTAGTAGCATACTATATAATACTTATAGATATCGTTCGCGGCGACATATTTATTAAGACGGTTAAGCTGGACAAGTACGCTTAGAGCTGACTATTGACTGCAAGTCTCTCGGTCGCTATCCATTAATAGCAATCGGCCAGAATAGCTCAAAGTATTCCGGTATGGAAATCTCCATTAGCTCGTAGCACATAATGGTCGGCAATGCTCTAGCTATAGTAGTTACGCATTATAACTTATACGCGGAAGCCGGTGTTACACACGGTTAAGAAGGTTACAAGTCACATCATAATAGCAACTAGTTAGTCATCTGCCACCTGTAAGTATTGTGCCTTAATCGCCCAATTTCCATTTGTGCCGCAATTAAACCCTTACTATGCTATTAGAACCACTACACTATCTTAGCTTTCCTCCCACAGCCTAGATGCTTTTACTAGTCTATTCCCTTACCGTTATTGTCAAAAGAAATCAAGACTACAGTTCCTGTTAAATGTAGCTCAGCCTACTGTTCATTTATCCTTGAAAGGTCATACCGTATCTCTAAGAGGTGAATCATAAACTTGAGAGAAATTCTAGCGCTACATCGTAGTAGCATAGCTGTAATCTTAGGATTAAACACTAGAACTACTGCAGCTTAATATTATACGTATTCTAGTCCTTGAAGTAGAAACCACCCAGGTGAAGAAGCTCGTACGACTGCCGAACGGCAAAGCTAATTCACTGGTATTTAAATAGAGAAAATAGCGCAAGCAGTCTATATTCAAGAAGCTAGATGATTATGTCAATTTGCATGCTAATTCGCCTTCCTAGAAGCGAATCCTGCCACCAATATTAATGCTGGAGATTTTCCATGTATGTAACTGAGAACGCAGAGAACTTTTATAACTCTTTCCTTCCTTTGCTTCCCTAGGTTAGGGAGTAAAATATGTAGAATAGTTTAAGCACTAGGTTAAAGATGTACGTCGATCGGAACCCTAGCAGGCTTAGATTTAGAAAATAGGAATTACCTACAAAGACTGCAATAGTAATTGACATAAGGCTCTCGATAGAATAAAGCACCTTAGACTGAGAAGTATAACTCCCAGCTTAAATTAGGTAATATCATTTTCCATTCCTAGAAACTTAATCAAGCATGAAATATTTATATAATAATATGACTACACTTGCGACTGGATCTATTTGCTATAACGAAATAAGTAGTTGCTACCGCGTGTAGCCCTCCGTATATAGTACAGTATAGTTGAGATTTAAAAGCGACTAACGTCTCTGTTATAAATAGCTCCCATAACAAACCATAATACTTTAGGTGTAAGTTGAAAGCACGATGATGAACAACTTGACCTTCTATATTCCTACTAGGCAGAGCCCTAGCATAATGTTGATCTAGTATGCTCTTTATAAAATAACGTAATCCACAAGCGACCCGGCCAAACAAAGGACCCGGGCACTTCCTTATCGCCGCATTAAGCCTGCTTTTCACACCCCTATAACTCTCCTAATTTAAGAGCTATAAACTTCACAACTTCTCTGTACCTCAACGATAAAAATAAAGTCCTTGGCGTTAAAGTATCATACTATATTATTAGTAGCTCAATACTCTGAAACTAGTGACCTTAGGAGCTATAGTCTCTACTTTTCTTTCCTAGCTATACATGAGTATTATTGACGTAGATTCTAAACTAGTTTAGTACTATTATTTTTATCGTTTATATATAGAGAAGTTTTAAAGCTTATAACTCTTAAATTGGGAGAGTTACAGCGGTGTGAAAAAGCAGGCTTAATGCAGCGATAAGGAAGTGGCCGGGTCGCTTGTGGATTACGTTACGTACTAACATAATGAGAGCAAATATGATATAATGAGAAAGTAACTGGTAACAGTGCTATTAAAGTTGTGAATGAGTAGTACAAATAAAGGATTTCAGCTTGTTTGCATTCTGCTTATGTTTATGAACTCGTACCTACAGCGCTCACTCGCGCACTTAGTTGTTGAACAACTGAGTGGCTCTACACAAAGTCTCAATATGTAATTAGCAGTATTCCGAATAATAAATGAGGAAGACTCTAAAATATATTTACAGCTCATGCGTGTACTGCAGCTCAAATCGGATGGGGGACAAATTGAGACATACATAAAATCAGTTGAACAGAAGTTTAGCACTAAGTTACATGAGCATACTGTCGTATTACTTTGAAGTCACGATGTCTTACGCGATCTATTCTATAGCTTCAGCAACAAGGATTCTATTATGTCCGATTGCGACCAACCTGCCTTTCCAACTAACATGATTGGCTATAGCTACTTAATAAACTGGTGGATACACAGTATGGACTTCCAATGTATGTACATTAAGCATCATAATGACATCTTAACAATGTGTCTCTTTCACACGAGCGACCATTAGTAATAAACGGGATACTGAAGTAATGTAGCGTTTATTATAGCTTTTATATCATTTATTAGGCAATATAGCTCCAACTTCTTTCCCAACGCCTACTTGATAGTACAGATATATATGTGCTACATACGGTAAGGGCTTGAAAAGAATATACGAGTTACACTGTTACAAGTGCATATATAAGTCGTGATTGCGGCATAAATACATGTGTTTCTTATTACAGTGCACTAGATTCAATAACATTATTATTATTTATAGTACGCTGTACCCACTAGTTAAAAGGGGTTTAGCGGTGCTACGAATCTATCGTGTCATAAACCGTGCCGTGAGGCTGGACTAAATAAAATACACGCTGCGTCTTCTTCGCGCTAAAGCAGCGCCTACGCTCGGAGTTATCGTCGCATGCAAAAGGATGGCTCTTCACCAGCTAAACCTTGCTCAAAACAAAAAGAGAGAGAGTGCCCGCCTGATTCAATAACAATGTGATAAATAAATTTCCCTAACAGTTTCTTGTACATCTGACATGATATCATGCTGGATTTCCTTCTTACTATCTGGATATTGTGTCGTTTTTCTTATGTAAATGTCATCACCGAAACGTATGCCAGAGTTCAAGACCGCCGAGCATATTTTCCTCTATTGATTGATTATGTTAGTTTGAGGTAACTGCTATGACCTCTATTCATGCGCTTTTCATCTCTAAGCATTCGTACGAACAAAATGCTCGTGGGAATCGCTCGATGTAATAAAAATCGTATATGGGGAGAATTGAGCACCAGCTTTGTCGTAGCTTGGACATGTTCAGAATCTAGGTGGATATATATGTGAGAACAGTCTATCCAGAAGTTATGCTGGATCGTTTAACAAAGTACTACGGACAAGAACCATCACTAGTCAAACTGATATACAAGGAATGATTTCGTGATGCATATTGTTTCCTATTTCCGCATCAATAGAGACTCACATTGTGTTATACAGTTACCAATCAGTAGGAGTGGTATATGTGATATGACGCCACCGCAGGGGAAAGACTGTGGTGCTTGCACCATCTATTAACATATTACTGTGCTTTTCACAGCGATCCTTCCCATTAATGAGTAGGTAATCAGGACCGTGATCGCAAATGGACCTACATTTGCTTTTAGCTGCTCTACTTCCACTTTGGTATCTGGAAGTACACATCATCCAATTTCACAGATGGTGCAAGCTGCAACTTTTGACATCGCCATCCATATGATTAGGCCAAGTGTCGGCAAACTCAAATGCTCAGTCAACACTCGAATCCAGAGATAATCGTTACTAGTGCTCACGACTTTGAAGAATTCCTCAACAGTCGATTGTCCAGAAGTTACGTAGCACATCAGCCTTCAAGCATGTGTCACAAGAGTAAAGAATAGAGTCAAGAAAAGCATCCATTGAAATGTATTCTAATCATAAAAGAACAAGGCATCTTTTGTTTCTTATACTCACTACAAGTTTGTTTAGCGCCTGAATATAATAAAGCACAGTGACTAGTGTGGTAGGCTGTCATTATGCCTCCCGTAGCAACAAGGCAGTAAGTAGTATTGAATACCCGTGGTTAAATCAAATGAGATTCGCTTGGTTTTGGAACGACAAGTGTATCTGCTACTTCGATGATGTTGCGTCAGATCAAGTCGATATAAGTAGGTCTCTGATAATTTATTAATTCGGGGCGCCCAGTCAACAAATACCCCCACACCTTGCCTTAACCCTGATTCATATATAGATAGACCGGGAGTCACGACCAGAGGTGAATTAAAGTTTCACTATTGTACTAAATGCTTCTTTCCCTGAAACGGAAGTCTTGAAATGGGATACGCTATCTATGACATACCTGTGGTCAGGGTAATAATCGTATAAAAACACTACGCATTAAGAACGTATATACAATCTTATTTAGAATACTTTGAATGCGTAACAGCATGAACACAATCCTAATGTCTCGTCAGAAAGCCCGATTTAGAACGATTATCGAGGGTGAGGATGTAGGTAGGTAAATTTCCACTCCCCATGTCAATTTCAACTTCAAAAAACTCCCCATTGACTCAGTTGTAAGAGACAGAGTTTGATTACACATATATACGCCTAGATCTTGAACGAAAAAACCTGGATTTGGTGGATGGTCAGTCTTTCCGCGATAATTCGACGACGTTAACCGCAATCCGAAATCCGACATCGGGACGAGAAAATTCAGGTCCGAAAGGACAAAGCAGCGTACACGCATCGAGCGCGCAAGCAACGACGGAAACGCGATACCGCTCATCGAAACGCAGATCAAA